TGGAGCGCCAGCCCGGCCCCAGTCCCGGGAGACCCTGTCTGCTCCGAGGTGCTGGAAATCTGGCAGGGAAACGGCTCTAAGCTGTCACCAGAACAGCTGTAAGCCAGGGCACCACGATGAGCACCCCGATGCTAGGACGGGGTGCTGCCGGAGCAAGCACCAGTGACTTCCGCGAGCTGGAGGGCCGCCAAAGGACAGGCTCTGTCTTGCTCTCGGGCATCAGATCCAGCCCGGAGTCGGTCAGTGGGTTTGGGGTTCTGCTGGCACTCAGCCTCCTCATGCATTCACATACTCCCTTTGGCTGCAGGGAAAACTGACATCACACCCTCTCATGAAACCACCACTGATGTAAGGTGGTGGCTACACTCTTTCAGGATGTTCTGAGCACGGCAGGGACTGAGTAAGGGCTGACTGGCAAGAGTCAGAGCTGACAAAACAGGATGTGATTGAGACAACTTTGCCCCATATTTCAACATATTTCAACTTTTTTTCCCTCTCTCTCTGATTCCAGGTAGAGAAGGAGAAGGAAATGGGGTCAGACTGTGAAGAACAGCAATGGTTTTCGAATATATTAATTGGGCATGTAGCATCATGAAGCAGAACAGGTTCAAATGGACTTTTTGGAAGGTTTTAAAATAACATGTCAAAGGCCTTACTTGGAACGCTGGTTCTCTACTCTAGATACAGTTTCCAGTCACTTTATCTCGTTCTATTTTGTCCCTTTATTCATTTAACAAATATTGCTGGAACAATATGTGAAATGAGAGTTGGCTGGTTCTAGAAGACGCCCAGGTGGCTCGGGATAGGTGCTCGGGGACTAAGGCAGGGAGTCTGGGGTAGGGAGGGAGGGAGATTTGGATCCCACACCAACCCCGCATGGGGCCCTATGCTGGGCACAAGGAACACAGAGTAGTACCTGGGAGGCACTTGACCTTGCAGTAGAAATGACGTTATCCAGAGCCGGTGCATAATACTGCATTTAAAGCTCATGAGCACCACAGAAGTGGGGTCCTAGCCGTCTGCCCACCTTAGAGGCTCACTTTAAATATTAGCGTCCCTCCAAAAAAAAAAAAAAAAAGAAGGGGAGCCCGGGTGGTTCAGTTGGTTGAGCATCGACTCTTGGTTTCCACTCGGGTCACGATCTTAGGGTCGTGGGATCGGGCCCCACGTCCGGCTCCGTGCTTTCTCTCCCTCTGCCCCTCCCCCCGCTCTTTCTCTCTTTAAAATAAATAAATAAAATCTTTAAAAAATTAATATCTTTCACAAGAGGCTGCACCCATGAGCTGGCCTTTGAGCTCCAGACACCACACCCGCCTCTCAGCCCGGGGGCGGGGGGGGGACAGTGAGAAGCCAGTGGTTGGCAATACCAGCAGTGAGGGAGGGCAGGGTGGTCACCGGGGCGGGGCAGGGCAGCGGGGGACTCCAGCTGAGTCCCGTCCACGGCCCTTGATGCCCTGTGCCCCCTTCTCAGACCCATTTCAACCCCCACCCCCCGCCAGCGCCCGAGGGGCCTGGATAAGGACAGGGCAGTTTGGGTTGCCAGTGACTTAGAACACTTAGAACTTTATCTTCGCAGTCATGTCCACAAGACATCCTGAAGTGTGAAAACAGCCCTCCCAGACTCCGTGGAAGGAGGGAGGGAGGACAGGTGTCCATGTGGGAGTCCAGGGAGGCCCGAGGAGGGCACGGGGAATGCCTGAGACTCCTCCCCCCGAGAGATGACCCAGGAGCCCAGCTCCAGGGCTCCCCGAGGGCGACACACACAACCCCGGGGCTGTCGAGGAGGGAGGCCAGCAGGGCCCGGAGGTCCCCTGCAGCAGGACGGGGCGTCCCTGGTAGCCCCCGCAGAGGTGGGGGGACATGGCGGCGTGGGGGGGGGGGTGGCAAGGAAACCAAAATCCTGTTGGATTCAAAGCCCACGTAGGAATCAGGATGAAGGTAGGAATTCTCGCTTTGCCCTCAGTGCACAAATTCGCATATAAGAGGGGCCGGCAGGATCACAAAGTGGAGTTCTGGAAAACCGTAAAGGAAGTATTTAAGACTCAGAACCCCGACAGAGCTGGGAGGCAGCAGGGCTGTGTTGCAAAAGAGCAGCCTGTCCGGCTGAGACCCCGAGGGGCCAAGGGCGGAGGGCAGAGCTGTTAGCCTGTCAGTCCTTGAGCCTCTGGACCTGTCCCGCCGGGCCCCAGGCTCCATCACAAGAGTCAAACATGTTCCTGTGTGGCGGCTCTCGGGAAAATGTATGTCACAAAGTAATCACGATAAACCCCAAAATCCAACCCGCCCGCAGTCAGCTGGAGCCTCACCTGTGATTATCATGTTTCTTTGTTTGGGACCCCGAGGAAGCCATTCTCTCAACAGGGGCAGGACCCTAGGAGAAAACAACACAGAATATTATTTAAGAAAAAACTCAGGCATACACAAAACCTCACGAGTTTGTTTGGCAGAACTCTACTGCAACGGGGCAGTGTCGAACTGAGAGCAGGAACGCGTTAGTCGGGACCCGGGACAGATTTTTTATTTCGTTTGTTAAAGACTTTATCTATATATGTAATAGAGAGAGCACGAGCAGGGGGAGAGGCAGAGGGAGAGCAGGGGGAGAGGCAGAGGGAGAAGCAGGCTCTCCGGTGAGCAGGGACCCCGATGCGGGGCTCAATCCCAGGACCCTGAGATCATGACCTGAGCTAAAGGCCAATGCTTAACTGAGTCACCCAGGCGTCCTGCGGGTGAACTCGGTTGATAAAGCCCATGTCCTGCCATGGGGACAGGAAAGAGGAACCAGGTTAACCCAGTGACCCAGGGGTCACCAAGTCCGGGAGTGGAGTCTGCCCCATGTAGCCAGGACGGGTTCCCAACCTGCCAGCTCACCAGCCAGCGATCAAGAAACTAGAGCCCACTAACGTCGCTCCCCGAAGGCCCTTTTTCGGAGAAAGGGATCGATAACCGTTATCACTGACCATTTTTAGCAAAATCTGAAACCCAGAGAAAATGAGACACTGTAACACTTCCACCTCAGCTTACTCCAATGGGCTTTAGTTCCTAATAGCCTCCCAACGGACCCCTTTCCTCCTTATAAATCGCGCCTCTCCTTGGTTTCCCGGACCTGCTGTGTCCTGAATTAGGATTCCCTTTCATGCCCGAATAAAGCCATCTGTTGCTGGTAAAGTAGCCGGCCGTGGCTATTTCTAAGGTTAACATGACTTGGTGATCAGAGATGGGAGCCAGAGAAGACTCGGGGCCGGTGAGCAGACAGGTGCATGATCCATGAGCCGCAGGGTTGCTGGGCTCACTGCTTTCTCACCAAAGCTGGGCTTGAGGACAAGTGTTCTCCTGGATTTTGAGCCCCATGCTTTGTGCTCAAGCGCTTTACGCTTTACCCGGGATTTACCAAGGCCTTGACCTTTTTTTTCTCGTTGTTTTTTTTTTTTTTTAAGCATTTTTTAAGGATTTTTTTTTAAGCGTCTTTTAAGCATTTTTTAAGCATCTCTGAGAATATTCTATTGGCCTTCAGTCTGATTCAGACTGTGTTTGATGGAACCGCATTGGCCTTCGGTCTGAGTTCTGTTTGGGACGGGACCATCCTTCCAGAAACTGGGTGGCCTTTGATCCCAGTAAGAATCAGAGAAATGGGATCCCAGTCGTCAAGATGCTTTGGGGGTGCCCCCCTTCCCCCCACTACTGGGACTGTGGCCCGTTTTACGTTTAAAAATAATGGCCCCGCGGAATGCCCGTTTATAAATAAATGGACTGACTTAACCGGAAGTAATTTAGATCTAGACTTGCAATGGCCGTTATGGGGAACTTTCCATCTCCCCAGACTTAATTGTCTCAAAGCTGAATTGGACAACCACGGTCCTAAAATTGACAAAACTAAAAGCAATTCCTTCTACAACTGGTATTTTGAAGCTTCCAAGCGCTGTCTGGAATCTAAAATTGCCTCTCTCCAAAACACAGTTTGTAAACTAAATGAGGCAAACAAACAATTAAAAAGGAAAAAGGGTGGGGGGCGCCTGGGTGGCTCAGTGGATTAAGCAACCGACTCTTGATTTCAGCTCAGGTCATGATCTCAGGGTCGTGAGATCGAGCCCCGGGGTCGGGTTCTGCACTCAGCCTGGAGTCTGCTTGTCTCTCTCCCTCTGCTCCTCCCCCCCAACTCTCTCTCACTCAAATAAACAAATAAAATCTTTAAATAATTAAATAAATGGAGAAAAGGGGGGGCTTCTGAGGCCTCTTCTGCGTCCCTATTTCGCCATCCACAGAGGCGCTCAGACGCTGCCGCCATCTTGCGCTCAGACGCTGCCGCCATCTTGCGCTCAGACGCTCTGCCCCATCTTCACCCCGGCCTGGTCATCCTTCTCTCAGACCCTCTTTTCTTCTGATGCTCCCTCTGCTCCCTCGTCTCCTGAACCTATTAAAACCCTTGCTCCTTCAAAGTTGAGTCTTCTGGGGATCTAAATAGACCCCAGGTTTCCTAAGTTCCCCGGACTAAGGCTGAACTTTGAGCCAGAGGTAAAGGGGGGTCCCCTAAGTGGCTGAGGACCCCCCACAGGTTTGCTGGAGAATTTAACAGAGTTACTCACACTTACCAACCTGGTTTCTGGGATTTGTAATAGTTGGGCCACAGGCTTGTGGCTGAGGGCCAGCCCAAGCATTGGATAAAACCAGCCCAATGGGAACATCCTGAGCAGGATTTAGGGACGCAGACCCCCCGAATTTTGGCAAGATGCTAGACCACTCGCTGGAAATCTCCACCGAGCACTTGGAATGGCTTTTCCGAAGCCAGTTGACTGGGCCAAAATTCAGTCTTGTGCACAAAAGCCTGATGAATCTGTTCGTCATTATTATGATTGACTGCAAACTGATTTTAAATAAAGTTCTGGTCTTCCTTTTAACTCTGTGTTTATTATTGGGCTGATCTGGGATCTTTTCCTTTTCGTTAAAAGGCCCAGGATGAAATGGGAAACTTGGTCTGCCCCCAGATTCAATTGCCTTGGCAAAACAGTTTGCTCGCACCCTAGCTGAGTCACCTGCAGGAAAGACCACTAAAATTTCCAATGTTCAACTCCATCAGACAAAGCCCCCCCCCCCCCAGCAAAAACCCTAGTTTCTGCTGATACTGCCGGAACCAGGACATTGGATAAAGGACTTTTACAGGTTTAAGCTCTCCCGGTGCTTTCAGCCCACTAGCTGAGCTCTTCTACCTCCTCCTCATTCCCAGTGCTGGGGCTCTTCCAGTCCTCCTAATCAACCCAGGGAAACCACTCCCCAGATTCGGAATGGATCTCTGTCCTTAGCGACACAGGACCTATACTCTCAGTGCCCGGCCCCACGGCTGCAGAGCAGCCCCTCGGAGCACCAAACCGGTTCAAGTGGTGGGGGTCTCCAACCAACCTCAACAGGTTCCCGCCTCTGAACCTATTCCCTTCGAGAGGTATTCACTGTTTTCTCCCCAATTCCTCTGCCCCTACTCCTTTACGGGGTTGAGATTCCCTAGAGAAGTATCGTGCCAGAATTTCTTTCTCCCCGAAGGGGAAGATAATTCCAGAATCTGATAGCAGCGATCAAAATAGCCAACCAGCGGAATTAAATGACCCTCTGATGTCTTTTGTTTGCTCTGTCTCTGGCGGGACCGTAGCTGAGTCTGGGGACACCGATCATGTAGTCCTGTTGGATCAGCTATCACCCTCTTTCTGGACAAAATCCTCAACTGCTATTGATAAAATGCACAGTGCACCTCCCAACAAGACTCAGGTAGATCCCTCAAAACCTCTCCCTAGAATTAATCAATGCCCTATAAATAAAGAAGCCCTTCAGGGCATCCAGCCCAGGATAGAGAATTTCGAGGCTCAGGGCCTCACGATCCCCTGTACTAGTCACAGCCCTACTTTACCTGGAAAGGAAACCCAATGGCCAGGACCTCTGAGCAGTAAGTAACGTCGTTACCCCTCAGGACCCTGTTGTTCCTCACTCCCACGTGTTACTGGCACCCGTTCCCACTGAAAGCAAGGTTTCTGCGTAATTGACCTATGGGGTGCATGGTTAGTACTCCACTCGATAAGGACCGCCAGTGTCTTTCTGCCTTCACTTGGGAAGAACAGCAGGATAGCTGGGCAGTCATGCCCCAGGGTGACACGGAGGGTCCTTCAAAGGCTGATTCAGATGACACACAGTTTCCTGCAGCCTCAACTTGGTTACAACGTGTAGATGACTTGCTCTTCTGCTCCCTGCTTGGACCTCTTCACAGGGAGGCAGCCTCCCCCTGTCAAAACTTTTGGCCTGAAAGGGACCTACAGTCTCCAAAGAAACGTTGCAGCTTGCATCACGTCAGGTTCAATATTTATGGCACCTGATCTCCGAACGAGGACTTGATGTGGATCCAGGTAGACTCAAAGGCATCCTGAATTTCCCCAAACGGAAAACCACGCACCAATTAGGAGGCTTCCTGGAGCTGGCTGGCTATTGCCGACATTGGATTCCAAACTCGTCCCTCATGGCCCAGTCTGTATGAGCTTTACTTTTAGTAAAGTCAGGACAAACCTGACCCTATTATTTAGAAGGAGGTGGATGACATGGCCTTTGAGACTTTAAAGGAAAGTCTAACAAAAGTCTCTGCCCTCAGACATCTTAATTATCAACTATCCCTCCTTGTACATGAGAAGGAAGGGGATACCCTTGGAGCCCTCACCCCAAAAACACGGGGCCCACCATTGCCCCATGGGGCATCAAAGCCAACAATTAGGCGCTGTGGCTGGGGGCCTCAGAGCCATTCTTGCCACTACCCTCTTAGTTGAGGCCCACACAGAAGGCCTCCTGAATTCTCCTGACGCTCAAGACTTTTCATCCAGGGGACGCCTGGGTGGCTCAGGCGGTTAAGCGCCACCTTCAGCTCAGGTCATGATTCCAAGGTCCTGGAATCGAGTCCCCACATCAGGCTCCCTGCTCAGTGGGGGGTCTGTTTCCCCTTTTCCCTCTCCTCCCCACTTGTGCTCTCTGTCACTATCTCCATCTCTCTCTCTCTCAAATAAATACAATTTAAAAAAGAAAAAGACTTTTCTGCCAGGCACCTCACCTCCTGTGACACCCTCACGGTAACTGCCCCTCACAATAATAACTCTTTCTGGTTCCAGTAGCCTTAACCCTACCACCTTTCTGCCCTTCCAGGGTAAAACCCTCCAGGACAGCTTCGTGTTGACAGATCACCTGTTGACCCCCGGTGACAATTTACAGGGACCTGCTCTAACCAGTGCAGATTTTTCACGGTTTCCTGATGGTTTCTTACTTAAAGGATAAAATATCATCCTGGGTGTACTATTGCAAATCCCTGGGAGTCACTGAGTCAGTACCGTTACCCCTGGCTACTTGCGCCCAGCAGGCTGATTTAAACGCCCTCACCTGAGCTCGTGTTTCAGCCAAGGGCAAAACCCCAAACATTTATGCTGACAGTCAATATGCCTTCGGGGAAGGAAGCTCCAGATTTGGGAACGGAGGCAACAGGTTTTCTTACCTTCCCTGGGGATAAGATTAAAAATGGCTCCTAGGTCCAACATTAACTAGGTGCCATGCTTTTGCTGGTGGCTTGAGCTATTACTAAGGGTTTGGGGCATTCCAGCATCAACTCCCTGGAGGCCAAAGGAAACCACGTCGCTGCTATTTCCACCCAAACGCTGCTCTGAAGGAGCCCAAGAGCCAGACCTCTGTCATATTCCAAAGAGATGCTCTTCCAAATGACGATTAGAAAAAATGGACCAGAGATGCCCAACAATCGGCCCCAGAAAAGTTAACTCAGTATTGGAAATCTGATAACTGTTGGTTTGATAAGAGAGGGAAACTGGGTTTACACCAAATAAGAAGCTGGCCCTATCAGAAATGTTTAAATTCCCAGTACTTACAACCGTACGCGCATGAAACCGTGGGTCACCGGGAAAATCACAGCGTTCACGAACCAACGTTGGTGGGGACCCTGCTTGTCCCACTTCTCCAAAATACAATCCTGGGAAATGTACCCATCCTGCCCAATGGACCCTTTGAGGTTTGGCCAATGGGCTTCATGCAGATCCCTCTGTGTCACGGATACAAATAGGTTTTAGTCCCGGTCTGTAAGTTTTCTTATCGGACTGAAGCCCTGCCTTGTAGACAGGCCAACACCTCTTCTCGGACTACGATCCTATGGGGAAAGATGACCCCTACCTCTTGAGCTGTGGCTCTGGGGGCGCTGTATTCTGGGTTCTGACGGGGGAGCCCATTTTACCAGGCAGGTGCTTCAACAAGCCTGTGCTGTTTGGCTGGTTTTATGACACTTTCGTTGTGCACACCAGCCTCAACCCTCAGGGTTGGTGAGGCACTAAGGGCGCTCCGAAGACACAGCTGGCAACATTCGTAGGGACCCCCCAAACACGTTGGCCAAAGGCATTGTCATTACCCGTTCTGAATCTCAACTCTGCTTCCTTGGGAACTCCTGGACTCTCTCTTTGAGATGGTCCCGGCATGCCCAATGCTCATGGTCAACTGAAGACCCAGCGGGACAAGGGCAGACTGGAGCTTCCGAGGACATGACCTTGCCCGTGGATACAGCTCTACTAACCCAGCCTGAGGGCAAGAAGTTTTCCTCACCCCCCCCCACCCCTGTTCTCCTTAAAATGCATGCCTCTCCTCTGTCCCCCGGGCTGGCCCATGATTTTGCAACAGCTTACTTGCCCAGGGTTGTAATTCTCTTTCATTCCTGAATAAACCCACCTGTTGCTGGTAAAGTGACTGGCAGGTTTTTTGTTTTTTTTTTAAGATTTACTTATTGGGGCGCCTGGGGGGCTCAGTCGTTGAGCGTCTGCCTTCGGCTCAGGTCATGATCCCGGGGTCCTGGGATCGAGCCCCGCGTCGGGCTCCCTGCTCCGCGGGAAGCCTGCTTCTCCCTCTGCCACTCCCCCTGCTTGTGTTCCCGCTCTCGCTGTCTCTCTCTCTGTCAAACAAATAAATAAAATCTTAAAAAACAATAAGATTTATTTATTCATTGATTTATTTGAGTAGGGAGGGGCACAAGGAGGAGACAAGCTGACTCCCCGCTGAGCATGGAGTCCCACACGGGGCTCGATCCCACAGCCCCGAGCTGAAACCAAGAGTCAGATGCTCAACCCACTAAGCCACCCAGGCGCCCCCCTCCCTGGCAGTTTAGCTTTTAAGGTTAACAGATACATACAATTGACCCTGAACTGGGGGGGGGGGGGCGGGGGGAGCCGGCACCGGGGACGGGATGTTTCCCTGCGTAGTGGAAAAACCGCCTGGTGCTTTTGACGTTTGATTCCTCAAAAACCTAACTACTACTACTAGCCTGTTGTTGACTAAAAGCCTTCCGGGAAGCAGAACTGGTCAGTGAGCACATTATTTTGTATGTTATAGGTATTAAGTACTGTACGATGAAGCTAGAGAAAAGAAAATGTTATTTAAAGCATCGTAAACAAGAGAAAATACATTTACAGCACTTTGTGTATTTATCAAAAGAAACCCACATGTAAGTGGATCTGCCCAGTTCAGACCCTTGCTGTTCGAGGGTGAACAGGCTTGGTCTCCGTCCCATTTCCGGCGTGGAGCTCCTAAAACCTTTGGCATTTCCTAAAAGTTGTGAGCAAGGGGATGTCTCTTGTTATGTTAATGACGTGATGTTTGGAAAACGCCTAAGGATGGGGGCTGGTTGCCAGGGAAACCAATCTCAGGGCTAGAGGTTGGCACTTTCAGCCCCACCCCCCACCTCTGGGGTAGGGCTGCAGGTTGAGTCAATCACTAATGACCAGTGATTTCATCAGTCCTGCCCGTGTAACAAACCCCCCCATAAAATCCCAAAAGGACGGGGTCCGGAAAGCTCCCGGGTTGGCGAGCAGGTGGAGATGTGGGGACCGTGGGCCATGTGTGTGTGTGGGGGGGGGGGGCATGGGTGCCCCGGGGCCCCTCCCCAGGCCGCGCCCTGGGCAGCTCTTCTGTCTCTTCCCGCGTTAACCCTTTTATAACAAACCGCTGATCTAGGGAGTAAACCGTCTCCCTGAGTCCTGTGAGCGGCTTCAGCGGCTCCATCAAACCCAGGGAGGGGCCGTGGCGCCCTCTGGTCTGTGGCTGGTGGGTCAGAACCCAGGTGACAGCCTGCACGTGGGGCTGGCGTGGGGGAGGGCGGTGCTGGGGGACCGACCCTCGACCCTCGACCTGTGGGTCTGTGTCTCCGGGTAGATGGTGTCCCGAGTGAGTTGCATTCGGGCAGCGGTAGGAACCCACACATGCGTCAGAACTGTCGTCAGATTTTGTGATCAGAATCTTGGGTCCTAATTCCAGGCAGGCAAGCACAACTACCATCGGACAAATCCACACAGACAGCCAGGCTTCCGCCCAAGTCTGGCGTCCAGGAAATGCAACCATCAGCAGCACCCTGCGGGGACTGGCCGCTGGGGTCCACCCCTCCTGCCCTCCCCCTCAGGCTCTTACTTCTCCATGGAGATCCCGAGAGGAGGCTTGGGGTCTCACAGCTGCGTCCCCAGGGCCCCAGCGGTCCCCAGTGAGACCTGTATCGCTCACAGCAACCCCCTTCCCCCCAAACCATCAGGATCCTCCAGGATGCTCATTTCTCCTCTGTGGGTGGGGAGCCGGTGGGCTGGCAGAGAGCTCAAAAGAGGAAGAGTTAGATGTGTCTTCCCAGGGGGCAGGGGGGGCGACGGGGCAGCAGACAGAATCCAAAAATGGAAACCAAGCCGCAGAGAGCATCCTGTCTGGCCTCCCCACCGAGCAAGTGCTACTGTCCTCACCTGCTATGCTTTTCTTGCCTCTGAACCAGAGAAACCATCTCCCTGCCCAGTCCCTGCCGTGCACTGCCCCACTGAGTCGGCCCGGCCCCCTTTCCTTGGCACCCTTAGCGCTCGCAGGCACCCCATCCAGACTGTGAGCCTCCCCAAAGCTGACCCCAAGACTGCCCCCGCCCTGCACTCAGTAAAAGATTGAGCCAACTTGGTGCGGAGAAAACCACAGACTTTTGCAATGCTCTGATTGGAAATGTTCCTGCTAGGCACGGAGGATGCTTGCAGGCAGAGTGGCTCTGTGCGCGGGTTTGCATGGCCAGTCCTGGCTTAAGGTTCAGAGACACAGTTCACTCTCCAGAGGATACGTTCTACCATCGCCCCACCTGCCCGCAGAAAGGTTGAAGCCAGGAGTGGGTAAAGCAGGAGGAGAAGGGCCGGGAACCAGGAGCCCGTCCATCCTAGTGGGCAGCCACCTACTCACCTAGACTCTTCCAGTGGCCACAGGTGAAGGGGCAGTGCTGGGGAGCAGGTGTTTGCTCTTGGAAAAGAAGCCCCTGTGATAAGAAAGAAAGAGGTAATAACTATTTAGGGACACGGTGCTCGTATTTCAAAAGGGGTTTCCCAGTTGGCAAAAAAAGGAACAAAGCTACATTGTATTTCTCCAACCTTCAAAGGAATCAGGAACTCAGGCTGGTCAGCGGTGCAGTCCCCTTCGAGACGAGGCCAGATTAGCTTAGAAAAGGCGGACAAGCCGCTGCTTGCAGGGTCCACTGCCCCCCAGCATCCACCCCGGTCCACTTACCTCAGGCTCACAATGTAAATCCAGACCAAAGGCCTGGAGACCCTTCCTCAGCCAGAGGAGGGAGCCCCTGTGGGAGGGCCAGGTGCTGAGCGAGGAAGGGGTGATGGGGATTTCCAAACACCCCTCTGGTGCAATGTAACCAAGAGAGGTCATTGGTGGAATTTAGGGCAGATTTCTGACAAGCGCTGCTTCAATTGTTTGGCTGATTTTAAATTATCGCACACCCCAGACATTTCCCCTTCCACAGACGAGGCAAATAATGCGTTTCCTGACAGTCCGTGCTTGATGGTATAAAATGGGTCTTGCAGTCTGGGCATCTCAGAACGAACCCTGGTGCCCATTCCACTTCCTGTCTCCCGCGTAGATACCAACTTGCAAAATGCGGTCCCCGATTTAGCCCTCGGCTTCACTGTCCATCCATGAAAGGCTTGGGCTGACCT